TTTTCCTTAGACAAACTTCGGCTTTTAAACTAGATAATTTTGACAAAGTTTTCTTTTATCTTTCAAAAGATTTGTTTGTCAAAAGCCTAAATTTGAAAAAAATTTTCACCTGTGATTGATTTTTGTACATTTATGGGGGTTTAACGATTGCCATTTTGGCGAGTTTGGTATAATTAACGTTTGATATAGTTTTTGCTATTAACGCGTAAATGGAGATTTAATCCAGCCTAAAAATCGTTCCAAATAGGTTAAAAAAACCTATTTGCCATAGTTTAATTGTTAGTAGGAGCGAAACATATTACTTTTTACTTCATATGGCGTATGGGGAGATGATTTCTACAAAAACTCTCGAACTTTCGCTCTTTCACCAAATCATAGTAACACCACAATGGACAGAAGACTAACCCATTGGCTAACGTTTTCATTTCTTTTCGATTATACAAAACTTATATCTACCTTTACTTCTGGCAAAGAGGTGGCTTCCTCCTATTTTGCCGAAAAATTTTTCGTAGTTGCCATAGACAAAATTCAGGAAAATTATCTAAGGGGACCTGTATCAATTCTGTTAATACTTTTTCTGTTGATCGAACGTCGGTCGCTGTAAAAACAATTAAAACAAATAGGATCCGAGGGCAAGTGTAAAAATGGAGCAATCTGTTAGACAGAAATATTAACGAGCACGAAATAGTTTCATTTACGCTTAGAAATATTGTTGCTATTATCTCGTGTATTGCTCAGTCAATATGCAACTGACAATTTGCAATATTTCTTATGTTAGTTCTGAAAATTGTTCATCTAATTGCTTACCCCTCGATAACTTATTTCCTCAGTAAGTCTGATTAAATCATTAGAAAGAGAGATGGCTCGTTTAAATTGGCACTAGATTCAAAAAACTAGTCAATGATCAGATTTTCAAAAACAAAAATTCCATGCCAAATATACACGAACTGACTAAAACAATTGCATTTCAGCTATTAAAAAACCCGACCAGTGGGTAGGCTTTGGTAGAATCAAGCTCAAAACTGCATATAGTCAACTTAAGTTATGCGAGAAAGCAAGAAAATAATGTACTTTAGCATTTTAGGAAACGGCACCAAAATCACGTGCCACTTTTAAACTGTTTATATGGACAGGACAAAAATGCCTAATGAGTTTCAAAGAGTCGTGGGCTGGCCTTTAAAAAGGGGAACGTTCACAAACTGTTATGTAGACGATATACTAATAACCTAGAAGAAATCATAGGAAAACATAGAACTTTTGTGCACCGAAATTTTACTGTGCTAGAAAAAAGCAATATCGCGATAAAAAGGGGAAAATTTGCATTTTAAAAAAAAACAAAATGGTTGGGTTTTAAAAATTCTAAAGCCAGTGTTCGGCTTTTGGTCGGTAAAGCAGACGTAATGAAAAACCTCCCAAAACCAAAAAATATCTCCGATTTTCTTTCCATTTTAGATTTTATGAACCGATAGGTTGAATTGGTCCCAAATCTTTCGAATTTGAGTTCGCGTTACAATTTCTGCTAAAAAAATGAATAATGTATCACTGGGACAAAAGCCACTCAATGGCATTAAAGAAGTTGAAAACCGAAATTTTAATTATTACAGAAAAAGGCCACATCGCCATAAAAGAAAAAACAAGACTCAAGACAGACGCCTCGCATATTGGGTGCTAACCTTGAACAATTTCAACAGGGAGTATAAAACGATTGCATTCTCTCCAAGATTTCCTTATGGCCGTGTATCGAAATATTCGACAAACGATTTGGAGTTTTTAGGCGTAGTATGGGACGCCAAACATTTGAAACTATCACTATGGCTCTGAACCCGAAATTGAAATTGTTGTTACTGTCAGCTCTTTCACCAAATCATAGTAACATCACTATGGACAGTAGACTAACCCATTGGGCAAACGGTTTTTCTTTTTTCTGATTTTGAAAATCCCCATTCACCTTGGTAAGACAATATTTCTACATAATCTTACATCTAGTATTCCTTCTGGCAAAACCGTACCTTCCTCCTATTTTGACAAAGTTTGTGTCGTAATTGCTTCAGACAAATTTTGGGAAAATTATATAAAGGTTTCTGTTTTAGTTCTGTTAATACTATTTTTGTTGATTGGTTGTCGGTCGCTGTAAAGGCAATTAACATGAATATGATCCCGTGGCAAGCTGAAAAGTCGAGCAGTCTGTTTGGTAGAACTTTCAACGAGAGCGCAATAGTTGCATTGAAGCTTGGACATATTGCTGCTATTATCTCGTATATGTTCAGTCAATGAACATTTGCAATAATTTTCAGGCTAGTTCGGAGAATTGTTCATCTAGTTGCTTACCCCTCGAAAACTCAAAATTTGTTTTTAATAACGTTTCATTTACGAAAAAACGTTCCTTCATCTCATCTGGTTAAACGAGAGCCAACGAACAGAGAAAGCCCAAAAATCAAAACATAGTAATTGTCCAAGAGGTACACAATAAAGCCCTTAAGTTTAAAGATGGACCTGATGATAACTGCGACCTGATCGCAAACTGCAAATCATCTGCGACCTGATCAAAACCATCCAGAGTGACGGACCGATGAGCACACTTGGAATATACATGAGACACTCTGAGAAGGATCGTCATAGAGTAGACGAGCTCCTATTTTTGGTTAATAAGTTTGTCATAACAGAGGCAATTTGGGGAGCCTTCAGTTCTTCAGCTCTATGCTCTACGAGACTCACCCCGTGCAGTTCGGGATGAAACTTCTGGCTGAGTATATCTGGTGGCCACACATTTATCGAAAGATATACTGCCAGGGCAAGTCCTGCAAAGACTGCTGAATATGTGGTAAGAATACTAAAATATTGTTGGGAGCGGAACAGACGGCTTAAGTTCTGGATGTGTCATTCTCGAACGAGAAAGTAAAATTGGAGTCTGCCGGACCATTAGATGTTTTCTGGGGAAAAAAAATTGTGTCCTTCTATGCATCAATCACGTTACCGAATGCACGTCCGCAAAATTAGTTAACAACACTTCCTCAAGTTCAGTTACCCCAATTTCAGACGATTATTGACATCTTCACGGATTTCAAAAAAATTTAAGTCAAACATGGGTCATGCTTTATACCTCACAATTTTGTAAATTCTGCCAAAATTCACAATTGAAACTATTTATTGTACAGTGGAAGATCATACATCCAACGGGGTGGTAGACAGGCTTGTATAAACTATGAAATCTAATTTGTTTTCTATATCGTACGAATTATCAAAGCCGACCTTCAGCGCTTCGATTAAAAAAATCATCTGGAAACTGAAAATTACTGAACAGTTTTTTATCGGATTTACTTCTTTTCGGAAACACACTTTAACGGACTCGGGAACACTGGAGGAAGAAACCTGATTTTCTTTGAATTTTCAGATCAAGAACAATCAATCAAGAACTGGAACTGCACGATAGGACAGATGACGGAAACGCAGATGCCGACTTGGAATCGTCTGCAGAATTGGAGGACAACGTTCCTTTGGCCTCGAAGTTTGCAAAAAATTGCACGACCCCTAACCCCGGAATCCAACGACGCCGAAAAATACAGAAAAAGTTGATTTCAGCACGAAAAAGTAATTTTTACACAAGACGACTAACGGGAAAATGGAGAACCATATTTTAATCTCGTCAAGGAAGCAATCATCGACTCTTGGGATCATACAGTCAAGCTTGAAAGTGATTTCATTTTATTTAAATCAGACCTAGCTGACAAAAAAAAATGCTCCCAGATCCCTCGAAAGTTTTGTTACTTTCTTTCGACAACCATGGGGAGTGGCACTAACAATTTCTCTAGTTTAGCCGGGAAAAGGAAAGTTTTTTCACCGAAGAAGTTCCACGGACATTTCCATTTCAGACAACCCTGTGCCCAACCAGAATGGCTCCGACCTCAGGCGTTACTCTGCTCCCAATGGAAGTTGTAGTAAAACCCGTGTCATCCCAGAATACTTCACGTTCCTGTTACTTATTGAACCTTAATTCTTGGATTTGGTTATTTGACGATTACTTCGACGACGTTTCGAACAAAATTGCTCCTAATTGCCAGAGTATAACCGCGGATCATAACCTTGACTTGAGTTTTACAGGTTAAGAAACATTCGCACAAACGGCCACGACACCGTCAAGCGGACCGGCGGTCGCAGAACAGCTCAGCACTTTACCTGGACCATAACTTTTAGATGTACGGTGGCGGAACCTATCCAGCTAGACAGCTCACCAAAGGAACCATCTTTTTTCTCCAGCCAAGCAAAGCCGAGTACCAGCAAGGCCGACTACTATATCTAAAGACAAAATAAAGCCTTGGCACTTGAATTAATTACAAATCATCTGTACAGAGTTCAATTGTTGACTAAAACCTGTTCGAAATTTACCAAAACACCGCTGTTTGCGAGTAAATTAGGGCAAAAACTGAATTATAAGCCAATCAATTAAACCTAAAAACCTAAGACCATTGACAAAATATTGAAGCAATACGAACATGAATTAATTAAAAGCCATTAGTGAAAAGCCTCATTTTTTGCTATAAAAATTTTAAAAGTTTTCAGATTGTTTTCAGATCCACCAAAGCAATTGAAGGCAACAAAATAAGGGTCGAGCAAACAAAATGGTCGAACAAACAAAGTTTTGAAAAGCGTTGGTCGAGACCGTTGAAAAAAGTCGAAACATTTCGAATTTTGGTCGAGAAACTCGAAGCGCATCTGAACTGGGTCGAACAAAGTCGAAACTTTTTTTTGGGCCGAGAAAATCAAAACATACCAAAATTTGGTCGAGAAATTCGAGACATCACGATTCACTCGGGCCTTCCCCAAAGCAGTTTAGGGGCGCGATTTTAACTTGCTTCTATCTTGGAAATTTTAGCAAATCAGAATCGTTTATTTTACGCGCTCCAAGATCAATCCAAATTCAACGCTGGTGTGAAGGATCTTAACTGTGTTCATTTAAGGGGAGGATTTTCTACTTGATTCGAATTTGCTTTGCGTGCCTGCAGATATTTGCTGTAGCTTCCAGAAATACATCTACCAGACTCAAGGCCAGGAGAAAGGAGTGAGTCCGGAGGAGTATTTGGATCTGTTGTTCGACTTCTACGCCCCAGAGGACAAACAGGTCAACTGGATACAGGTAATAAAAATAATAATAATAAATTGTGTTGCGGCAAAAAAATGTACAAATGCTTTTTAGTAACTTTAGAAAAGCCTGTGAGATCACCAGTGCATCTGCAGATCCATGTTGATGTCTCTCTGAGCGGAAAAACTCGTTTCTGCTTTTCTATAGATAATTTGAGAAAAATTACTTATTACTAATTTCGACAGGTATAAACTAGCACCGTTATCCAACTCATCAATCACATCGCGAACTTATTGCATTTTCAGGATGTTTTTGAAATCAAAAAGCTCCGTTAAAAATAACAACCCGAGTCGGGGTCCGCGCTACTGAAGAAAAGACTTTGTTAAGTCGCTCCGCATACCTTGTTTAGACTGAACTTCGTGGTCGCGAACGACAGACTTCTATTACAGGCTTTACATCTAAACTATCAGTTATAATGCTTATACTATCCTGATTTTTTTTCGACTAAATGCATTTTTTCAAATGCAAAAAAAAATTGTTGATACTCGTTTTGTAACTTATCAATTGACAAATCACAAAAGAATACGATGCTAACTTATTTTTAAATTATGCAAGTTAACAGAATACCAAAGTACAATTATATTGCAGGCCACTTACATTTCTAAATTGTGTTACAATGTCATCACTGAGATCGGTTTTGGACCTGGCCAGCTGAAAATGTCGGGAGAATTCTACCTTAACGAACAGTTCGTCCTCCCCGTGGAGAAAGGTTGTTAACATTGAACTTATATTTTTTTTATACTTTTTTTTTGGTTCCTTGTTGGTTCTTTATTCTGGGCTAGAACGCGAGGGATAATGAGAGAAATTGGGAATCTTTAAAATTTACTGAAAATTGTTTTCTGGTCTGTTTAAAGATACTGATAAAGATTTGCAAACTGGAACCATTTTTTTGTTCCACCTGTCTAACGTATACTAGCCCTGCCCCAATTTTTTTTAATCAAGAGACAGTAAGAAACAAACGACCAGTGTTACAACTGATGCGCAAATGGAACTGTAGTTGATATAGAAACCATTTTGTTAACAAAATCTATAAAAAATATACTTTTTTTAAGGTCAAGTTGATTTTCATTGAGAGGCTAGTTGATATAGAAACGTTTCTATAAACAATAGTTATACATATATTTTTCTAAACGTCAAGTTGATTTTTTTTAATAACGTGACTTTTTTCACGGTTTGTTTTTGTTCCGACTTTCGCAACGAAAGTAACGGATATTTTCTGATTTTTTATTTTTTCAGACAAATTTCGATTTTTTAACTAGCCATTTTTGACAGAAATTTCTTATATCATTTAAAAGGTATATTTGTCATGAGCTTAAATTTAAAAAAAACTATTTCACATGTGATTGATTTTTTGTAAACTTATGGGGGGTTTAAAATTGCCATTTTGACCAATTTGGTACAATTAACGCGCGATATAATTCTTGCTATTAACACGTAAGCGGAGATTTAATCCGTCTTAGAAATCGTTCCAAATTGGTTTAAAGAAGCTTTTTGCTATAATAGTTTTGTTACTAGGAGCGAAACATATTACTTTGTACTTTATATGGCGTGTGGGGAGAAAATTCTCACAAAATTTCTCGAATTTTTCAATTTTTTTTTTATTACATTTAGTTTTTTCACGTTATTACTGCTTCATACAAATTAAAAGGCAGTCGGGATATTCAAGGCTTTGCCCTGATAAGGCCAATTTTGTTTTTGTTTCGAAAGTCAACAGAAATTTGAATGACGCGAAATAGCGTGCCTGATTTTTAGTTTTGAAAGTTGATTCAATTTGCGAACTTCCTAAGCTTTGAAAGCGATGGTAAATTCGCGAAAAAATTTTAATCAATTTTTCAGTTTTTTTTTAGGTTTATCCACAATCTTACAACTATCTGCTTATTATATCCCAATTTTCAACATTTTTAATTCGTCAGCAAATGATAACTGAAATGGTCTTTGAAAACAATCATTTTAAAAAATGTAATCCATTTGTTGTTTAGCTTTGTACCCTAAGGTATTAAAAAGTCTAGGAAACTGTATGTAAGCGCAATTTGCTGTTAATTGTGCAGATGTTAAGCTGACGCACTCAAAACCTACAAGAAATTAGCACACGATAATGCCGTAACTACAAAAACACCAGCCAGATAAAGCAATTAACATTCGATAAAACCTACTGGCATCAATTGATTAAAATAAACAAACTACTTTCCAAAATTTTCGCGGTAATTTTTCACAAGTGAGCCGTTACTACCGTTACTACTGCGATTATTGTTCTGGCTTTCAAAGAAAGTGACGGAATGTTTGTGCTCGGAGTGGTTTTTTCTCCAGACACATTTCGACTTTTTAACTAGCCATTTTTAACGGAGTTTTTTTTTGTAATCCGAAAAAATGTTGTTCTGAGCTCCATTTAAAAAAAAATGTATCATCTGTCATCATTTTTTGTAAGGTCATATGGGGTTTAATGGTTGCTGTTTTGGCCAATTTGGGACAATTAACGCGCGATATACTTAGTGCTATTAATGCGTAAGCGGCGATCTAATCCGCCTTAGAAACCATTCCAAATTGATTGAAGAGGTTTTTTCTAATTTAATTTCTCAATTTTCAGAACCTTCTGCAGCAACATTTTTTTTCGTCCACAGAAAGTAAATGAGCTGACCTAACCCCTAAAAAATTAACATTTTACTTCGTACACTTCCATGTTTTTTACGGGTTTCAAAAACACTGTTGTTACATCTGCATTAAAATTTTTTTTATTAGCTTGAAGCGCTAGAAATTAACCCATTTTCATCCCGTTGTAACCGTGAAAAACCATATTTTGTCGCTGTAAATGCTTTTTATCATATTAACAACTTTATAAACTCGCTTACTCGAAAAAAATTTAATGTGTCAGAAAAACGTGATGCAGTTGGTAGAAACTGGTATTTTGAAATAAATAAATAAACATAATTCAACGTATTCCTTGATAACGAAAAAATCTAAGAGTAAAAGCCTTGCATTTGAGATAAAATTTATGCACTTGTATACGAGTCGTGGGCTACTTTCATGATATAATGACTGATTGGTAGAAATATTTACCCAGGGGCGGATTTAGGGGGGGGGCGGCGGTGGCGGACGCCCCCCTTCAGGGATTCGAACTTTTTCAGGGATTCGATACTTTTTAAGAAATCCATTTTTGGCCGACCGACCCTAAAATTTTTCTAAAGGCGCCTTTGGCGCCAATATATACTAATTTTGAGGGCGAGCGCGCGCCAAAAAAAAACGCGTTTTTTTTGTCAAAATTTTCCAAAAAGTGCCCAAAAACGGCTTTTTTGACCTGTTTTTTCAAAAACTTGCCTGCGGCGCAGAAAATTTGGCCAAAACAGGGTCTTTTTACTGCTCTGGGAGAGCTCGGAAAATCAATCTGATCGACCTAAAAAAAAGGTCGTCAAAATTTTTTGAAAATCCGCCCCCCCCCCCTCGAGAAAATCCTAGATCCGCCCCTGTATTTACCCATCAAGTTTGTCAGAAACCATCTCCAAGTCTCTAGTCGTTGATGGCTTTATGCAGACAGAATGCGATGAAATGTTTCTCCAGTGGTACTCGAAAAACCAATCCTTAAATTTATTTATTTAACGTGTTGAACTTACTTTTGAAATCAGTTCAGAAAAAAAATAGTGTTTTCGGTCACGGGACAGAAATTACAACTTTTTGATTTCAATTAACAATTGAACCAATTTTTTCTTCACGTTGATGACGGCGTAAAATAGCCATTAGAGTTTGAATAGTTTCAAAGCCAGTAGATTATGAATAGTTTCTGAGGAATTTGAGTTTATTGGCTCAAATTGGTTCTTTGAGAAGCTGATGGGGTTGGTTGACTTACATTTTATTCCAGGGAAAGACAAACAAAAGAATTGAAAAAATTAATTTGTCCAGCTTCAAAAAACAATCGTATGTTTTGACAATATAGACATGAAAAGGTCTTAGGCGCTTCTACCATATATGATGGACAAATTTTAGAGACAACAAAACTGCTTATGAAAATCCTATGCGTAGATTGAAGCAGTTTTTTTCTGTACTATTTGCTTGAGCAGCTTCCTTGTTCGCTTATTTTAACCATCAGCCAGTATGAGCCCATATGTTAAATTTACTTGGGTTCTTTGCAAGGATATTTCCACAGCAAGAACACATTTGAAACTAGTAACTAGTTATGATATACTGGCGATTTTGCGCTTTCAAAACAAAATTTTTATCTGGTTAGCTAAATCCTTCCAGTTTCATCTAGCATTTGCTAATTTTCCAACCTGTATCTTAAAAAGTTTTAATTTTTTTTTAATACGCAAGGAAAAGAATTGGCTTTTACTTTTGTTGTTTTTTTTTGCATATTTAGTTTCATTCAAAAAGTTATGCACTAAGTTGAACAGCTTTTTTTAAACTAAAGGCATGGGTATACTGAAGATCCCCGGAAATGATATCAGAGGGGCAATCACGTTCAGATGGTTCCGCAAACATATCATCTGTGAATCACAGCCATGGATATGCACCATAGATGACCCCTCAGATTGGGCGGAGGAGAGGCGGAGGCCGGAGTGAACTAAATTCAACAGCCTTGGACATCATAATGTTGAATCCATTTCAATTTTAACTGTCAACAAAAACTTCTTTATTGAAACAAATTACTATTGCTTTAAAAATTTTAATTTTGTTCTTTTCTTTACAAAAATAAAAAGGTTCACTTTTGTTTTGTATTTAATCACAATGACAATTACGGTCATGTTTCTTGTTTTTATTAATTTTCGCGTCCATCGGTCCATTGAATGTTTTTTTTTACCTCTTGAGAGATTTGACCTTTCGACTTTTGCTGTTCTTATAGCTCCTTTCGAGCACTTTCTCAAAATAATCCTATGCACGCGCCACTGGAAGTTGTAGTTTTTCGAAAAACAAATCGAAATATCCGACGGTCTTTTTTTCGTTCGACCAAACTTATTTTCTGAGCCCCCTAAAACTTTATAAAGACCTTATTTTGCCACGAAACTTTTGAGCTGTCCGAAGTTTTCAATAAAAAAATCAGTTTTAACAATTTTTGGGAGGTTTCGAAGCCTTTAAAAGCAAAATTAGGGATTAGTGGGTCAAACGTGGATGGTGTAAACCTTTTGAAAACATCCTTTTCAGCCAAGCATCCCTAAAACTTTTCTGTACGCCTCTTTTTTCAATATATACTATGTAAGACTTAGGATTTTTCTCAGACAGCATTAGCTTGAGTTTATGGAGGGATAAAAATGTGTGCTGCGATATTTCATAAGCTCAGTGGAGTGATTACTAGGTGAGTAATAGGTGATTCAGAACAACCAAAATTAAAATTTCAAAGTTAAAATTTGGATTAAAATTCTTTAGAAAACACTGTTACCGTAGCATACGAGATTGCGAAGCTTTTTAACTGATTGCCCAATTCAACAAATACATTTGGTTCGAAACTTACTGCAAATCATGCCATACTTATCCAAAAGGGAAGGTAAACTGTAAAAAACGGTAACATCCCTAACTTCACTAATAATCCGTAATTATTTCTTAGAAAAAATTAATATGACAACAAACACTCCTTTAAGCTTAGGTTCATTGAGTCCCGTTTCATCAAATTCGGAAGGGAAAACCTTCGCGTCCCCTCCAACGCACCGGACTTCTGTTGCAATTTTCCGACCCCAGGTGATGGGTGGAAGCTGAGGTTTTGAGATATGAAAGGTAGTGACAAGGTACATCACATTTTAGAATTTGAGCTGCTAAATCCAACGGTTAGACCGGAAGTACATAGTTTTTAGAGAAAACAACCCTTAGACCGAGAATAGGGAAAATATGCAGAATAATTAGCAAGGACTTGATGATTTTATTGCAGCGTTAGACGCTAGATACAAACAACGAAAGACCCCTTGTGAATAAAACCTTTCCGGCGACTCCTTCCGATCTTGATAGCCCCTTCCCGGGAAAAGAGATACTGAACCTTAGAAAATGAGTACCAATGGGAAATGGATGAAACTTGGCATATAGGAACCTTATGGGTTTTTTATGCCGAATAAGAGACAATGACCCCGGGTGACTCTAGGGTGACTTTGGAACTACTTTTAAGCGTTTAGGCCCGAGAAAGCAAAGAAAACCCCGAGACTGCCACTGGAACGTGGCGCAATTCGCCAGGCCAACCCCTGGAAAAGGGAGTTGGTCACGCTGCTTATGATCGCGAGAAAACTTAACTTTTGAGAAAAGATCCAGAAACTAAAATGGTATAGCTTTTATTTTGCAACATTGAAGTAGTGAATGGAACATGAGTGAAACTAGGCATAACTTGGGTTGAGCTAAGACATGATAGTTAAGCTATTGAAAACATTTCAATTAAACTGAATGAAAGTAGTCTCAGAGGAAATTGGTTGTAATTCAGAACGCGGCATGCAAATTAAAACTTCTAAACAATACGAATGGACGGGTTATTTAGTTAGCTTCCCGAATTAGATACTAATTAGGTGAAGTAGATACTAATAGTCAAACCACGGTCTTCTGATAGCTAGAAGGTTGCAATTGATTTAGAATGTAGATGGGATTTTTAGAGGATTGAAATGAGGTAGCTACATATAAAAAAAGTTCTTCCGCTATCACTGGGAGACCGTAACACTGACAAGCTAATTAAAAAAGTCCATAAATTTCAATGGACAATCAAGATAAGTACCAGCCTTTCAGAAAATTTATTGAAAGAAATATTCACATGGACGATTTGTATATTTCGACATCAATGCCAGATGAAGCTCATCCAATAAGGTCTGATATTTGAAAACTCTCTCCTTTGGAGGATTTAACCTCACAAAGTGTAACTCAAACGATCAGTCGTTGCTAGAACTGACTGATTCGCCGCTATTTGTGGACCAGCACAACAGCAAACCCCAGCAGCAACGTGTTCTTGGACTTCCATGGGATCCGATTACGGACACATATACTTGATAAGACATTTTTTCAAAACTTTCAGCCCAAAAAAGAAATGACCCAACGGATTTTGTGAGTTTTGTGGCTTCAATCTTTGACCCTCTTGGTTTTGCAGCACCTCTAACCATTCGATTGAGAATAATACTTCAGTCAGTTTGAAGTCAAGTCCCGAAATTGGACAAAGTAATCGAACTTTCCTTAATTCCAGATTTCATTGAAAGGAAAAACGAAATCAAAACTTTTGAAACACTTTACGTGCCTCAAAACTTGATCATCGGAACATAAACAGTAACTAGAGATCTCCACAATTTACAGACGCCTCAAAGTTTAGGCTCTCGACAGTAGCTTTTCTCAGGATAGCCTACACAGATAACACCGCGTCGGTCAAGTTTTTGATGGGTAAAGTCCGAGTCGCACAAATAAAGCGATTGAAGATCCCTAACTTGGAGCTGCAAGAAGCTGTCTAAGGCGGGCAAATAGCTAATTTCATCGTTGAAGAGTCAGATTACAAAACATGCAATCGTCATTTTTCGTAAGAGAGCACTACTGTTCTTTACTGGTTGAGAGCGCCTCAAGTTCGACACAAAATCTTCGTTGCAAACCATTAGCTAAGATTTTGAATATCTGCAGCTCTCGCAATTGGAAATACATTCCGACAAAAAAACAAAAGAAAAGCCGGTTGGACTTCCATGGGCCATCAATTAATATGCACTGGTTGCAGAGACCTCAATTTCTTTGGAAGGACCAATCTCATTGGCCCCAACAAGATCTGCTTCAGCTAAATCAAATCACAGTTTAGATTATGCCGGCTAATATTTCTACTGTTCAATGTAACTCTAAGGTTTAGCATTAGCGTTTGGAACAGGCTCATTCGCTCAGTTGCTTTCTGCTCCTTGACCGGCGCCAAATTTAAGAAGCGAAGCTCTCATCTAAAATTGTCTCATCATGCAAAAGCTTACACTTACTTGATAAAATTATGTCAAGAATCTGACTTCCCCGTAAAATAGTCAAGTTTCTCCATCAATTAGACTTCAAATTTTGTGCATTTTCATCGACGATCATGACCGTAATCGTGCTCCAGGTCGCTTGTCCAAAGCACCATTTTTGATTACCTCTAGATATCCCATCAATCTAGATGGACCAAACCACATAGTCAAGTTTCTGATTCTCAAGGAAAACTACTGGATCCTCCGTTGTCGTTTAACTGTAAGGCAAACTATTTGAAACTGCCTTTCTTGCCGTAGAATGTTGCAGGAAGTGCCAAAACATCGATTACCGACGGCAAATCATTATCGGTTTTATACTACTGGACTGGACTTCATAGGATCTTTCTCGTTTTACGATAACAACAATCGATATTCGAGATATATACTTCTCTTCACCTGTTTGGTTGTACGCGCGGTACACTTAGAAGTATCACCAGACTTGTCTACTAACAGCACAATTCATTGCATCATATCGGACAACGCTTCTTCTTCTTTTTTCAGTGCGAATAAAGTCCTCAAGAGCTCAGTAAGCGACTTAGCTCAAAGTTCTTATTTCGAAGACAAACTATGACTCATTGACATAGATATAGAAAAGTTTTTCAACCCTCCAGCCGTGCCTCTTTTTGGTGGCAGCTGGGAGCGACTAGTTCAATTTTTTAAGTTGTCTCTCTATAATTTTATTGGTTCGCAAACATTGCATGATAACACGCTGAACTTCTTTTTTGCGAAATCGGTTCCAGCATGAACTCGTGTCCTTTAACTAACGTTCCTGCGTTATAAATGACCCATTCCAGCTCACCCCGATTCACTTCCTTTTCGGTAGGCCATCAATTAATGTACCACCTGGCATATTTCTGCATAAATCAGCACTCTTTCCAAATCGCGGAAAAAACGTGCAGCTTCTCGCTCAACAGTTCTGGAATCGTTTCCTCGCTGAGTAGCTTCCAAAAAGGCAAATTCGGACTAAATGGAACACGGCCTCCAACAGCTTGGCAATCGATGATCTTGTCTGGGTATTAGAAGATTATACACCACGAGGTCTTTGGTCTCTCGCTAAAGTTCTCAAGGTTCACGCAGCCACCGACGGAACAGTCAGATCGGTGACAGTCCAGACTCCTCATGATAAAAATGTACGGCCAGTAGTTAAACTGTCTAGAGTTTTCCCCAAATAATGATTTTCATTGGATTCATTTACCTTTTTGTACTCTCAACAAGTCCATACATTCGTTCACGAATTATTGCAAAGACCTTACCAGTCATTTCACTTCCTTGTTTGTTTTATCCAAAATTTATCGATCAACAGCTTTTCCAATCTTTTTACCACGTTATATTTTTTACCCCGAACACATGGGTCATTTTGCTTTTTTTTTCATTTTCTGCACATGCTGGACGATATCATAGCCATGACTTATCTTACCTTGTCTTTTTTTACTTATAACCTCAAAGACTTTCACGTTCAATAACTAGATTCGATTTTTTTTTAAATTGATAGAAATTTACGCGGTTTGCCCACATCTCGGCAAACCTGGTTTCATAAAAAACACAACAAAAAAGTGAGCACTGGAGCATGGAGCTCAACAATACTTTCGTTTAAAAACTTTATGAGGTAAAATTTTTGTTAAGAAATTAACCTCATCAGGTTTT